CAGGCCAGTTCCTAGCAGGGGACACACGAGAGGCAACCACACATTGATATTTCTCTCCCTCTCTTCTTCCCTTCCCCTCTAAAGATAAATAAATAAAATCTTAAAAAAAACTACTAAATTTGCAAAGTTAAAAACCTTGTCTTTCCTTAAGCTAAAGCTTTTAGGGCCTACCAGCTATTTATAAATCTATCCGATTTAAACATCACTTTAAAGGGGAATTTGGCTTCTGTTCGATCCTATTTACAAACATAGCTAATGAAACTTTAAAACAGTTTAAGCTGCATTTATAAGAGTAATGTATTTGATATCCTCCAAAAGTGTCTCAGTTGTTTGATAAAATGAAAATTTCCTGAGTTCTTATATAACTTTTATAACTAATGCATGTGTAAATATGATGGACTTTAAGCTGTCTTAAATGTCTCAATATGTAGCAAATGTTTCAATACATAGCTAATACAATAAATGTTTCAATACAATATATTTCAACAAAATGTTTTCAAGCATAGAAAAATTTCAATTTAAAATTATAAGCATAAAGTATACATATTAAGTTGGAATTACAAGCCTGGGCTCGACTCTAGGAGACCAAGTTCTTTAAGATGTGACAAGTCTTTAAAAACCAAGTATTTACAGATTCCTTAACACAAAATACTCATGTAAATACTAAATTGTAAGTTTTCCAGAGATTGCATTCAGAAACCTTTTGTCCAACACCTCCAGCCTTTAAAAGAAACACACACAGGAAACTATTACCTCATCAGACCACTTAGGGGAATTCCTTCTTGGTTCACCACTGATGTTGGCCAGGGAGGTGGCAATGTTCTTCTCTGTGACTCCGACTGGTTCACACTGAACCCTAGTTATGCCTTACACCAGGGACTGAACCCAAAGAAGGCATTGGTCACATAGCTCATGCCCCTGGGTTTGAGTCATTATGACCTCAGTTTTCTGTCCACATAATAGTTGGCAACCCTACCCATACTGCCATGCCACACGATTGGATTTAGCAGTAATTTGATTCTTAAGATATTTTGATATGCTTTCCCAGAAGCTCCAAAGAGTGCTGAACTTGATAAAATCCTGCCTTCTTTTTGTATTCTTTTTGCCTGATGAGGCCACACAATTCTTACAGGCATTAAAATGATACCGGTTGCTCACCCATGATTTTGCCTGACTCCATGACTGGAAATCATGCACAATTATTTCTCCATTCCCATGTTTAACTGCTGTCAGCTATTGTGTGGCAAGGGCAGGAAGTCAGGGTGAGGAACCAGTGGTCACAATCCTGTCCCTTTCTTCCCCCTGTGTGTCTGCAATCGCCATACCAGATGTTTATGCTCTACTCTTCCAGACCTAACCGGTATTTCGAAAAGATGTGTCAATTCACCCCTCCGCAAGCTTTCCTTGGTTGGTTCTGCCTGTGTTTCGGGGAACAGAGAGGCATCACTGCAGAAAGGGGAACCAAGCCCAGGGCCTCTTGAAATGCACATTCAGCCACATTCAGCAGATGTGTGTAAATCTGGAAGCCCCCTTTCTATTTTCTAGTAGGATTCTTGCAATGGACGGAAGTAGTCCATATTTAGCCCTGTCTTTAAGAGTCCTGTGTATTCAGACCTGTCATACACTAACGTACAGAACACATCACCCTCCTGCTTTGGCCCTTTGCTTCTGGGACAGTCCAGCAAAGCACTAGAGGAAGAGTTTCTTTCTTTCTTTTCCCGCTTTCCCAAATTTTAGATTCCTGAAGTATTTACAAATTCTACAATTTTTAAAAAAACAGACTACGGATTTCTCTTCTGAATTAACTTAAGATCGACTGATGCCTCAAATCCCCAAGAAGCCTGAAATTGATGTAGAAGATCAGTACTTTGGGCTGACGTATAAAACAGTCCATTTTACTGAGAGGTTTTGGTTAATCTCTCTCTCTCAGAATAAATGTGAAGATCATTCTGCTGGGACACCTTGATTTCTGAAATCAGTATAGTATGACGACTTTAGAGTTTACTCCTCAAATGGACTTTGTGGAAGCTGGGTGGTGAGTTGCTCCGAACTGCTGTGGGGTGATGTTAGAAAGAAGGCAAGTTGCAAATGATTTTGCCGGAAGGGGTAGTAAAACCAACCGAATACGATATTAGAGGATTTTATGACATTATGGTTCAAACTCAGGTAGTTTGGACTTCCTGAATTAAGAAACTTAGTTTTCTTGCCATCAAGAAATAACTTAGAGCTCTCTTGTTTGCAAGTGAGAGAAATTGGTGTAAAGTTATTAAGGTAAAGGAGGAGGTTTTATAGTGAGGCAGAATGACCTGCTACGGAAATAGATGTTTTCTCCTTTCTTTTCTCAAAGGGCCAGCAAAAGGCTAGCTCCTCAATTTTGGAAGTGAGTACCTATCCTTTGCTTCTAGACAGAAAAGGATTTTTTAAAAGTCAGTTTTATAGAGATAACTTCTATACAATAAAATTTGTCAATCTAAAAAATTTAATTTGATGAGGTTTGACAAAGACACACAGTCATGTAATTAAGCAGCACCCAATCATGATACAGAACATTTCCATCACCCCCTGAAGTCACTGCTCCTTTGAGGTCAGCAGCTTCTCCCCACCACCCCCACTTGGCTCCCTGGTATCTCCACGTTCTGTCATAGTGTTGCTTTGTGTAGCATTTCATGTAAATGGATTCTACATATATGTTTGTTTGTGTCTGACTTGTTTCACTTAGCATTATGCTTTTGAGATCCCTCCATGTTCATGTGTATATCGGTAGTTCTTCATGTCTATTGCTGAGTAGTATTTAATTGCCTGGACATAAAATGCTCTATTCACCAGGTAATAGATATTTGGGTTGTTTCTAGCTCAGACTAAAGTACCTTCCTTGGTGTGGACTTACGTTTTCGTACCTTGAGGGCAAATATCTAGGAGTGGGATTGCTGGGTCACAGAGTAAGTGAATGTTTAATTTTATAAGAAGCTTTCAAACTTTCCCATCGTGGGTGAAGTATTTTGCATTACCACCAGCAATGTAGGAGACCCAGGTGTTCTACATCCTTGCCAGCGATTGGTGGGCTGGTGCTGTCAGTCTTTAATGTTAGCCAATCAAGTGAGCCATTCTAGAGTAGGGCCATCTCAGTGTGGGGGTTCTCCCAGTTTTGTTAAGATGTAATTGACATATAATGCTATATTAATTTAAGGTATAATGATTTAATATGTGTATATATTATGAAATAATACCCCAATGATTTAATATCTATCACCTCACATAGTAACAATATTTTTTCTGTGTGTGATGAGAACTTTTCAGATCTACTCTCTTAGCAACTGGCAAATATCCAACAGAGTGTTGTTAACTACATCACCACAGTTTTCATGACATTCCCAGAATTGCCCAACTTCTAATGGGGACTTTGTACCTTTTTCTCGCATATGAAACAGTCAGTCTGGCTCTGAGAGGGTTTGATTGATCTTTCAGGTTTCCAAAACGTTTGTAAGTGAGAAACACTGCTTTCCATACAAACGGGACTTGAACCGATGGGGTTATTATATCATAACTATTTATTTCATGTGTTTAAAAATATATGTGAAAATGCTTTGAAAACATTAAAAACTGAACTGTCCCCAAGTGAAACACAAGAACATGCTTATAATTTTGCTGAGTGTAGAATAACCTGCATGACCCTTTGTGGGTAGATGCATGATTTCAACCTGGCTTTGCCAGAATATTCTAGTAGACTTTGGGATTACAAAGCAATAACAATAACAACTACAATAAGACTAAAGTCACTCTATACAGTTCAACTAGAGAAAGAAGAGAGGTTTTAGTTTGGGGAGGGGAAGCTGGAAGGAAGTTTTCTCAAGAACATGTGAGGTAGAGAGGTGGAGAATTTAAACTAATAAGAATGCCTTTTCAGGCAGCTGAGAGCGTGGAGGGCCAAGGATAGAGAGAAATAGCCACACATTCAGAAAACTGTGTGGAAAATCATACTCCATCCTCTCAAGTTCACATTCACGCCTATTGATTAAGTTCGCCTGATGTTTGAACCTGTAATGAGAATTGGGGGTGTGGGATAGGGGAAGAGAAAGAACCTGGATTTAGGGTAAAATTCTGGTTTCACATCTCAGTTGCCCATGTGCAAAAGAGAAGCAAGAATGGTCCTTCAGCCTCCAATCCCGATTCGTGAAGATCACATGTGCTTTACTCATATTAAGGCAGTTTAATTTTTTTAAAGGTACTGGTATATTTTCCTTACGAAGCCTTCCTCACTGCCTGAGACAAGCTAGTTTCTGTGGCAATGAAGAAAGCCAGTCTAGGACTGTTTTTGCAATTACCTTGAGAAACAGGGAAGGAAGGAACGGCTCAGGTTTCAAATCTCAGCGGCCTGTGGCTCCCCCCATCTCTACGGTGAGACTGGGGATGGGGGGCAGGTGCTGGAGATCGTGCGGCTCCAGGAACGGCCACAGGGCGCGGGGTAGGAAAAAAACAAAACCGAAACACCAAACGTGGGACTGTCCTTACCTGCTCCCCAGGCAAAATCTTGCTGTATTGATCCGGGGAGCACAGACTTGCGGGTGCAAGCGGACCCCGGAGACCATATTAAGTGTTGAAAAGGCGGGGAAGAATGAGAAATGGGATTCACAAGCCTGAATTCCGGCTTCCAAGGAGGGAAAAGAACGGAAAAGTGGAGTTTAAAGATGGTGTGTTTCGGGGTAATGTGAGGCTTGGATGCCTGAAGCTTCAAGAAAATGCTGGTTGAGTAATCAGCCTTCTCTTGGGTTGCGAAATCTGCCCCAGTGCTTTGGGAAATCCCACGAGGGGCTTCTAGCATCTCGGTTCTTTTTCCTGCCCCGCGACCCCCAGGCAGCCTCCAGCGCCCTCCTCGACCCCGGTCCGCGCCAGCTGGAGGTCGGGGCAAGACCCAAGCGCACGGACCTGCCCCTCCCGCTGGTCGGGACCGAGGTCGCGGTCGCGGTCACCTGACAGAGCCCGCCGGGAAGGGCGGGCGCGGCGGCTCAAGCGCAGCCTCCGGGCGCTGGTGCCGAGGTGGGCACGCCTCCCAGGCTGGGCGGGCCCGGCGGCTCCGTGGCCCCGGAGCCGGAGCCGCCCCACCGCGCGCACTTTCGCCTCACTCTCCTCCTGGGGCCCGCGGGGCCGGTCGCGAGGCACCTGGCGGCGGCTCCTGTCCCCCTGGTACGTCGGGTCGTTCTGGTGGGTGCCGGGCAGGGGCGGACGGGAGAAGGGGGCCCCAGACGGGTCCCCTGCTGCTCACCCGGGACCCCGGCCCGGAGGCTCAGTTCCGGGCCGAGGGGTCGCGGGGTGCGGCGGCCAGCGGGGACCTGGACACCCCTCGGCCCCACCCTGCACGGCTCCGCAGCGTGGACAGGCGAAGTCCGGGCGGAGGTCCGCCCTCGGGAGAGGCAGAGGCCACTCGGAAAGGGACCGGGGCACAGCGGAGGCCGGGCGAGCGCCCTTCGGTGTCTTGGAGGCACCTGGGCGTCGCTGCGGGGAGCTTGCTCTGGCTCCAGGCCGCGGGCAGCCGCGTCCCCCGGGGGCCGAGGTGGGCGGTGACCCCGGCCCTGGGCCCGGACTTCCCAGTTCCCCAAAGGCTGCTCTCCGGCCAGTGGCTTCTGTGTGGCCTCCCCTCCGCCCCCGCACCGTGTACTCCGAGCGGGTCGGGGAGGCGGACCTCGGAAAAGCTTTCGAGGTTGCACCTGTGCATCCGGCTGGGGGTGTGTCTGCGCGAGCTGGTTACCGCCGGGGTCAAACTGCTCAAGGCTGGGTTTTGGTCACAGGGGCTTAGAAGTAGGGAAGGTTCAGGATCCTCAAGCCCTAACCCGAGCCTGGCCTCTGCTTGGGGGCGGTCTTCCAGCTCGCCCTCTCGCGCCCGTCTTCAGTTCCTTCAGTCCTTGGACCATCTGAGTTATGTCAGATGGGATGACAACTAATCAGTTATGTTTAGAACATAACGCGGAGCATTAAGCAGAGACGACTTTTTAAAATCAGAATGCTTTGACGCTCTCCTTTTAACTTCTTCAACTTCTGCAAATGAGAACTTGTGTTTGGAACTTAGGTGCAAGCCAAGATAGTGTTTTTCCCTGTAGGGGGTGGGGTGGGGGGAAAGGGAGAGAGAGGGAGAGAATTTAAATCTGAGATGGTACAAATCTTGCAGAAGGTGTTATCGGCACTTTACTAATTCAGATCTGTATCAGAAAGCATCTGGTAGGTAGGGTGACTGACTTGAAAGTAGACACCAAAAAAAAAAAAAGGGAAATGGCAAACATGGTGACTATTTGAAAATGACTTACTCACTAATATTTTAAGTTTCTTCCTGTTTTAAGCACAGAACATTTGCATCTTTACACTTGTTATAATGTCAGAATTTGACAGTGTTTTGGACACTTCTAAGCTATCAGTTGATCTTTTGCTTTTTAAAAAAGAATTTGGCTGGGCTGGTTAAATATCTTGTTTTGATTAACCTGAGTGAGAAGAAGTTGTTTACTTCTCCCAAATAGTTGGCTTGTTTGTAAAAAAAATTTTCCCTACCATGTCACTTAGAATTTCCATTATTCTTTCTTTACACTGAAAAGCCACACCTGAATTTCTGAGTGCCACACCTGAATTTCTTGTACCTACCAATAATTGGTAGGTACAAGATAGACAGAGGGATGTGAAAACTAGTATAGGAAATGGAGAAGCCAAAGAACTTAATGCATAATCCATCGACATGCACCAAGGGGGGCATTACTGGAGGGAAGCAGGGTACTGGGTGGGGGGACAAGGGGGAAAATTTGGGGCAACTGCAATAGCTTAATCAATAAGATATACTTAAAAAAAGATAAAGATGAAGTCAAGAGTGCATTGTCAAAAAAACATTCAAGTCTTCTTGCAGCCTGTTCTCACCAAGTTTATTTTTCATGTTGCTAAAGAACATGTTTCGGGGTACCTCTTTCAATGAGAGTCTTGGCATAAAAGTCTTCTTTTAGTTTTTTGAATGTCCAAAAATATCTATCTTTCTTTTGCTCTTGAATGATCATTTAAATGGGTATAGATGTCTAGGCCAGCAATTTTCAACTGGTGTGCCACAAGAATTTCTAAAACATGCAGTACCTGACTATTTAGTCAGAGGCACTGACCTCTTTCCCTTAGAGTTCAAAATTTAAAAAAAATGAAAACAGCCAGTACAACAATAGCTGTCCAATATAAGTGAATCAAAATTATACCTATTTTTCGGTTAGATCGGCAAAATATATATGTGTGTGCGTGTGTATTTGATGTGGTGCAGAATGTTAGTAATTAGTTTACATGAAATGAAAAGGTTGAAAATTGCTAGTATAGATGGACAAGTATGTTTTCTCAGCCCTTTGAAGATATTTCATCATTTTTGGGCCAGGTGAGAAATTTCTTTTCTTTTCTTCTATTTCCTTCCCTTCCCTTCCCTTCCCTTCCCTTCCCTTCCCTTCCCTTCCCTTCCCTTCCCTTCCTTTCCTTTCCTTTCCTTTCCTTTCCTTCCCTTCCCTCCCCTCTCCTCCCCTCCCTCTTCCTCCCCTCCTCCCCTCCCCTCCCCTCCTCCCCTTTCTTTCCTTTCCTTTCCTTTCCTTTCCTTTCCTTTCCTTTCAGTATACATTTGTAATCTGACATTCTCTTCAGTTCTGAAATATTTTTTAGTTATTGTATCTTCTAACATTTGGAGCCGCAGCAGCGTATATGGCCGGCATGGGGTTCTGGTTTCCTGCAGGAGATTTCTAGTAGGCTGGCTTCCAGCTAGGTTGAGGCTCTGGGTCAGAGGGCAGAGATTTTTTTAGGTTCCTGTTCACATAAGATGCAGCCTTTTTTCTGTGCATGGCTTTATGGAGAGTTTACTTTCAGTTCTGAGCTCTGCACTAGACCATGAGTTTCTTCTCCACTCCTGCTTTACCAAGACATTACAGCCCTGACCCTAATGGGAGTATCTGGTTGTGGTTTCACTGTGGGCCACAGGGTTTCACTTCCTGCCTACCCTGGATCAGCAGATGCCTGCAGCATAACTCACCTCTAATACCAGGCTCTTTTCTCAGACTTCCATCCTGTCCTCGGTCTTGGATGAATAATTCATCACTACCCTGTCTTCTTCCTGAGTTCTTCAAGCAGATGGTTTTCATACTTTGTCTAGATGCCCGTCCCTGGTTTGGATATAACTCCATGCAGTCCAACCCAAGCCATCCCCTTCCCCTTCCCCGTGTCTTCCACAGAGGGTTTCTCTGTCCCAGTGTGGTAATGTATTGAGCAAGGAACTCCGATCTTAAGTGCCATGTTGTTTACTGCAGTTTTAGCATCACCAGTAATTATTATTGTTGAAAACTCACGATGCTATGGTTACCATATAGTAGTTGTATGAAATAGCCCAAAACCTATGTTCTTATAAACTTTATATTTTAAGGTGAAAATATGAGGAAAAAATAGATGTATATATTTCTGGAGCTCTGTGCTATGTATTACAAAGTGGAACACATCAAATAATTTTGGTTGCCCAATACAGTTATACTAAGTGGATTTTTTTCAATAACCGATTAACCAGAATGACAATAGAATAAATATAGTACCAAACAGCAATGACCCTTTCATCTTAATTTTGTTGATTTTAGAGGCAGGTACAGTACTAGGTCCGTCGTCTTTAGAGTCATTAGTTTCCATTGTCTCCTGTTTCTGCTCTCCTCATACTCGTTACCTTTTTTTCCTGTATCACCTGGTTGCTTTGTTATTATGCACTGAACATTGTATCTGAGAAATTGTTGACAGGCATTCGAGGTCTAGGGTGATGCTCTCTTCTCCTACCGGTGCATTCCCTTTGCTCCTGCAGGTACCCATGAGCACTAGCGTTCCAGAAATCAGGTTACTCCGTGTTCAGAGATCGAGACTGTCTGAGCCGTCCAGATCAGTGCAAGCTGTGCTGCATTCTCAGTGAGGGTTTGTCTTTAGTTCCGCCTTGCTGGTCTCATCCGGGACTGTCCCAGGCCTTAACCTTTAACTTCCTGTCCTTCAAGGCCATCAAAGTGCTGCGGCAAATCAGACTATGTTTGCTGTCTTCAAAGTGTTAGAAGACAAGATTGAAAGTTTTGGGAGAGAATTGGAAACTAAAAAAGTAACAAAGTGCAAGTGAAAAAGAACCAAATACAAATTATGAAGATGAAAATGGCAGTAACCAAATAAGTTAAAAGCAGTAGGTGGATCTGACAGTAGTTAAACATAGCTGAAGAAGGAATAATTAAGGAAGAAGCGTCTCAGAAGAAACCATCTAGACTGAAACTTGAAAAACACTAAAATATGGAAAGAACAGAAAAGAAAGTGACCTGGAGGATATAGCTCAACCAATGAATGTGTAGATGAAAAGTTAGTGCCTTAAATAGGTGTATTAGAAGTAAAGAATGGCTGAAAGTTAATGAGCAAATATGTACCTCAAGAAACTAGAATCAGAAGAGTAAAATCTAGAAAAAGCAGAAGGAAGGAAACAGTAATATCAAAATAGAAGTGAATGAAATAGAAAAATAGAGGATCTATAAAATGAGAAGTTAGTTTCTTTTAGAATGCCAATAAAATGGTAAACCTCTGGCAAGATAATTCAAACAAGCAAGCACAAATAACTCATCCAAGGACTAATACCGGACAATGGACTATACAGGTTCTGCAAACATTTAAATGATGAGAGGATATTATAAGTAACTGTGTTGATAACTTTTAAAAAAAAGATAAATTTCTTGAAAAATACAATTTACCAAAACTGAAAGAAGAAAAAGAACATTTGAATAATTGCATAGCTGTTAAATAGGTCAACTTAATGGGTTTCACAAAAACAAGATAAACGAACAAACCATAACGACAAAAATTACAGGCTCTGAATGTAGCATTGATTCATTCGGCCCAGGGAAAGAAAATTGGCAGGGCAAATTAGCTTCTCAAGGGGGGCGCAGGCATTCTAAACAAAATCTTAGTAAATGAAATCCAACAACATACAAAAAATAATATATCTAGATAAATTGGGGTTTATTCTAAAAGTGCAAAATTGTCTTAAGACTAAAATTGATTCATGTAATCACCAGTGTTTATTAACAGGGTAAAGGAGGAAATTTTTATTATCTCAATAGATACAGGAAGAAAAAAGATCTGATAAACTCAACACTCAGTAATCAAGAAAATTAAGTGAAAGTATAAAGATTGGGCCCTGGTTGGTATGGCTCAGTGGATTGGGTACCAGCCTGCAAACCAAAGGGTTGCTGGTTTGATTCCCATTCGGGGCACATGCCTTGGTTGTGGGCCAGGTCAGGTCAGGTTCCCGGTACCGGGCATGCAAGAGGCAACCACGCATTAATTCCCTCTCTCCCTCCATTCCCCTCTTTCTAAAATAAGTAAACAAAATCTTTAAAAAAAAGTATAAGGATTGCAAAAAAGAAGTAGGGTCATTATATCTGGGTGATATGATTGTATATTTAGAAATTTTAAAAAAATCTACAAACTGTGGAATTTCTAAGTCCATCAAGGTTGCTCAATGCAAGATAAATATATAAAATTTAACTAAATTTATACATATGGATGTATATGTCACATTTAAATACATAATACCTTTTTCAAAACTCACAAGTATCAAATGCTTAGGAATAAATCTCACAAAATATGCCCAAGACCTCTATGCAGAAAACCATAAAATATTATTGTGATAAATTAAAGAAATCTTAAATAAGTGGAAAGATATGCCATGTTCAAGGATTGGGTGATTTGAGATTGTAATGATGTCAACAATTCCCAAATTGATCAACAGATTCATGGCATTGTCAGTTAAAATAAACAGGTTTTGCTTTTGAAACAGAGAAGCTGATTCTGCAGTTTAGAAGAATATGCCAAGGACCCAGACTAACCAAGACTCGAAGAGGATAAGGAAGAAGGACTTACTCTCCTGGATATTAAAATATATTTAACATAATGTGTTACCGGTACAAGGACAGACAAAGACCAGAACAGAGGGCACTGAAACAGACCCGCCCCCATGAGAACATGTGACTGTTGGCAAAGGTAATATTGTCGATTGTTTTCCCAGGATGATCTTTTTAAAAATGGCGCTAGCTCAATTGGAAAAAAAAATTAATCCTGTCTGCTTCCTCAGATATGAATTCCAGGTAGACTGTAGGCCTTAAAGTAAAAGACAAAACAGTAAAGATTTTAGGAAATAAGGAATATCTTAGTGATAATGTAAGAAAGAATTTTTAAACATGTCACAAAAGTCACTATTAAAAAACAATAGAAATTTTAAGTACATGCATTTATTCAAAGATTCCACTAAGAAAGTGAGAAGGCAAACCACAGAGTGGAAGAAGATGTTTTGAATTCATCTATCTTCCATTTCCAGAGTATATAAAGAGCTCCTATAACTTAATAATTGTAATAATAACAGCCCTGTGCCATATAACATTTCAGTTGGACCACATGAGATGGACCAATGATGGACCACATATACGATGGTGGTCCCATAAGGTTATGATGGAGCTGAAAAATTCCTATCACCTAGTGACGTGGTAGCCGTCACAGCGCAACAACGCAACACTTACTCCTGTGTTGGTGGTGATGGTGGTGTAAACAAACCTACCATGCTGTCAGTCATATAGAAGTACAGCACACACAGTTACGTGTAGTGCATAATTTAGTGATGAGTGATGATAACAAACAACCACATTCCTGGTTTATGTATTGATATTTACTGCACTATGGTTTTTATTGTTATTTTAGAGTGCACGCTTTCTATTTATATTTAAAGAGTTTGCCGCGAAACAGTGTGCAGTGTTCTCCCAGCAGCAGCCTCATACATTTTGTGTTTACCCCCTCTCTGGATTACATCATTTTCTCTTATGTGTGACATGGTCTCATGTTGTTCTGTGCAGTAACATGCTGTTCAGACTTGCACCCTGGGAGCGCCAGGCTACACCACGTAGCCTGCATAGTGGACTTGTGTAGGTGCACTCTGTGATGTTTACACAATGACGAAATTGCCTGGTGATGATTATGAAATTACAGTTGATCTATACTATAAAATGCTGTGATTCATTGGAAAAAATCAGAAATGTATTTATATACTGACATAGAAGTCAAGCTTTTTTTAAGATGAGAAATGAAAATCCAGAATAAATATGCATGGTATGACCCCAGTTATCTAAAAAAGAAAGGAATAGAAAGCAGAGACATTTGTGCAGCTAAAAAAAATCTGGCTGCAACAGCAGTTACATTCCAGACCAAGTATGTATTTTTTAAAATTTATTTACTTATTTTTTTAGACCTGGGGAAGGGAGGGAGAGAAACATCAATGTGTGGTTGCTTCTCATGTGACCCCCACTGAGGATATGGCCCACAACCCAGGCATGTGCCCTGACTGGGAATCCAACTGGTGACCCTTTGGTTTGCAGGCCGGTGCTCAATCCACTGAGCTGCACCAGCTAGGGCCCAAATATGTATTAGTGTTGGTCATCTTTTAATTTTCTGTGCCTATAAGTTACGTAGCCTAGACCTTTATAATCTTTCAGATTCTATGGGAACCTAGGAAGGTGGGAAATTGATTTTAACCTTGAAAAGTTTTGTTCTTGGAGTTAATTTTTTAAAAAAGTACAGTTAATTCAGTGATCAAACACAGACAGAAGAGCACAGACACATAGAATGAGAAACCTGAATAGAGCTCAGGGAGGACTGGGCAGAGAGAAAGTGTCGGCTTCATGGGTGGAAAGTGTTCCGACTGACAGCTTTCTTTCCCCCATGTTCATCCAAATCGCCCACCCAGAGGCAAGCACTGCTTTCTGTCTTAATTCTCTGCAGGAAGAGAAAGGTCTCATGGTCTGATTGTCCCTCAGTGCAGCACACCACTTTGTTCTGACTGGCGTTCTCAGCATCCTTCCTGCCTGCTAGGAGCAGCTGCCAGACAGCATTGACCTTTTCTCTTTTGATCAACCAGCATGTATTCCTGGAACTGTGTTCTGTGAATAGTTGTCCAGTAGGAGCTGTGGTTTGGCTCCCAGGTCTCTAACTCACAGGGGACCTCAGACAGGGAAGAGGCACCCTTAAATATAAGAAAGCTTGAAGTGTAGGAGCAGGTGATTATAAACTGGCATGGTCAAGTTTAGCCCTTTTTCTTAAGCTGCTTGCTTGTTCATCCTTCCATTCATTCATATACTCCTTCTTTCAACCCATGTTGATTGATCCCTGCTCTGTACTCCCAGACAGCATTGCACTTTTAAGTCATTGCACAGTGGCAGTGTATATCTGTGAGTGCTGCTGAATGTGTCAGGGAATTCATTCATTTATCCTTTCATTAATTAATTAATTATTAAAGTGAATTCCTCTTCATTCATTCATTCTGGTTGCCTCTCAGTTATTTCCTGGTAGCTCTGGTGTGCGCGCATGTGTTTGCACGACACTTTACAAAATGTTTCTTGAGACCTGCAGTTGCAATGTGTTGTCAAACACAACCACTCACTTGAGCCTCTTTTATTTGTAGGTTGAATCCCGGGATGACGTCACATCTTTTGTGGACAGTGTGGGTCTTGGGGGCCATAATCAGCCTGTCCAAGGCAGGGACCCTGGGTCAGGCTTCTTCTCTGACCTGTGACCCCACCGGTGTCTGTGATGGCCGCTCCAGATTTTTAAGCTCCATCCCCTCAGGGCTCATGGCCACTGTGAAAAGCCTTGACCTGTCCAACAACATGATCACCTATGTCAGCACCAGTGACCTGCAGGTGTGTGTGAACCTCAAGGCTTTGAGGCTGGGGTCCAACAACATTAATACCATAGAGGAAGATGCCTTTCACTCCCTGGGGGGTCTTGAACATTTGGACTTATCCTGCAATCACTTATCTAGTTTATCGTCCTCCTGGTTCAAGCCCCTCTCTTCCCTGAAATTTTTAAACTTACTGGGAAATCCTTATAAAACACTTGGGAAAACATCTCTTTTTTCTCATCTCACCAATCTGAGAATCTTGAGAGTAGGAAATGCTGACAACTTCACTGAAATTCAGGAAAAGGATTTCGTGGGGCTCACTTTTCTTGAGGAACTGGAGATCGACGCTTCCAATCTCCAGCGGTATGGGCCCCAGAGTCTGAAGTCCATTCCAAAGGTCAGCCATCTGGTCCTTCACATGAAGCAGCCTGTTTTCCTGCTGGAGATGTTCCTGGACCTTTTAAGTTCATTGGAGCATTTGGAACTGATAGATACTCACTTGAACACTTTCCGTTTTTCAAAAGTACCCGTCAACGTAACCAAGACATTTATTAAAAAGTTTACATTCAGAAATGTGGAAATCACTGATGTTAGTTTTCAAGAAGTTGTGAAACTCTTATATTATGTTTCTGGAATGTTAGATGTGGAGTTTGATAACTGTATTTATAGAGGAGTTGGTGACTTTGATATCTCTGTTCCGGACACAGTCAAAGGTCTAAGTAATGTAGAGACATTAACAGTACGAAGGTTGCATATTCCAGATTTTTACTTATTTTATGATCTGAGAAATATATATGCATTTATAGGCAAAGTTAGAAGAATCACGATAGAAAATAGCAAGGTTTTTCTGGTTCCTTGTTCACTTTCTCAACATTTGAAGTCATTGGAATATTTGGATCTCAATGAGAATTTACTGGTTGAAAACTTATTGAGAAACTCAGCCTGTGAGGATGCCTGGCCATCCCTGCAAACCTTAATTTTAAGGCAAAACCATTTGACGTCATTGGAAGAAACTGGAGAAATTTTGCTTAATCTGAAAAATCTGACTAACCTTGACATCAGTAAGAATAATTTCCATCCTATATCTCCAACTTGTCGGTGGCCAGAAAAGATGAAATACTTGAACTTATCCAGCACACGAATAGACAGTTTAACTGACTGCATTCCTCAGACCCTGGAGATTTTAGATATTAGCAATAACAACCTCAATTCATTTTCTTTGACAATGCCACACCTCAAGGAACTTTATATTTCTGGAAATAAGTTGAAGACTCTTCCAGATGCCTCCTTCTTACCCATGTTACTAGTCATGAGGATCAGCAGAAATACAATAAATACTTTTTCCAAGGAACGACTGGATTCTTTTCAAAACCTGAAGACTTTGGAAGCTGGCGGCAACAACTTCATTTGCTCCTGTGAGTTCCTGTCTTTCACTCGGGAGCAGCGGGCACTGGCCCAGCTCCTCACTGACTGGCCTGAAAACTACCTGTGTGACTCTCCATCCCACGTGCGGGGCCAGCGGGTGCAGGACACCCGTCTCTCGGTTTCTGAGTGCCACAGGGTGGCTCTGGTGTCTGCCATGTGCTGCGTCCTTTTCCTGTTGATCCTGCTCACGGGGGCCCTGTGTCACCATTTCCATGGACTGTGGTATATGAGGATGATGTGGGCCTGGCTCCAGGCCAAGAGGAAGCCCAGGAGAGCTCCCCAGAGGGACATCTGTTATGACGCCTTTGTGTCTTACAGCGAGCGGGATTCGCACTGGGTGGAGAACCTGATGGTCCAGCAGCTGGAGCACTTCGACCCTCCCTTTCAGTTGTGTCTTCACAAGCGGGACTTCATCCCCGGCAAATGGATTATTGACAATATCATCGACTCCATCGAGAAGAGCCACAAGACCATCTTTGTGCTTTCTGAAAACTTCGTGAAGAGCGAGTGGTGCAAGTACGAGCTGGACTTCTCCCATTTCCGTCTCTTCGATGAGAGCAACGATGCCGCCATTCTCGTTCTGCTGGAGCCCATCGAGAAGAAGGCCATTCCCCAGCGTTTCTGTAAGCTGCGGAGGATAATGAACACCAAGACCTACCTGGAGTGGCCCACGGATGAGACTCAGCAGGAAGGGTTTTGGTTAAATTTGAGAGCAGCAATCAAGTCCTAGGTTCCTTTGAGAAAGGCCACTCTTGGTCTGGGGGAGGTCTTTTTATCACTAGTTACAACTAAGTGATAGACACAAGTATACATAAGCCACATGGGGACTTGCTAACTAAAGATACTAAAACTCTTCAATTTTTATCTAGAGTGCTGTTTTATACCAAGTGCTACCAGACTGGAAAAAAAAATGGCTTTGGTTTTTCTTTATCACAGGAGATAATCATGATCTAAAGCCATTTTTGACATCTGAATTATCTTTAGCAAATGGTTTCATTCATTAGGAAACGCACAGATGAACAGAAGACTTCGCGTGTACGTGCACTCATCTCGCTGCTAGCAGACTCATCCGTGTCTGCTGAGGGCATCGGCCACCCCCCCGGCTGTCTCCTCTGTGTGGCTGCTCTTGTGACCAAAAGGGCAAAAATTGGGGTCACTCAGCCCCAGTATTGCTGTTCCTAGAAAGAAGCGTTGTGTGTCTCCATCGAACTTTTTGGGATACAAAAATGCCTAAAAGGCTGTGTTTTCATGTGAAACGGGCCTGTCTGTCTGTCTGTCTGGGTGCTTGATAGGCTTCTCCAGCCATTAATGGCTTGAATGAGGATAATCAACACAAGATACAGTAAATTATGGTTTTCAATGAAAATCAAACTAATAAATAAAATACTCAGTTCAGAAGAATTTGAAAGAAGCCTTCCATATTCCTGACTCATTTTCTTCCATCCCTGAACTATGCGAAGGTCTAGTTTGTATCTAATTACTCCGGCTCTCAGTTGCTCCCTTCTGGTCTGTCGCCCCTGCATTGTGGTGCTTTCTTCTTTGAAAAGTCTTGACTCTGATTCTAAAAAGGCCCTCCTCTTTTTCTTCTGAAAAATAGTCCCCATGAGCTAAATAAATTTTAAACAAGTATAAACCTAGACATTCCTCACAAATATGAAAATATTTGATACACAATAATTAAAAAGATAGACAATACTTCCATGTTAATTTTTCTAATCTAGATGTAATAATACATGACATTTAATATAACTAATGCTATATACGGACTTGGTGCAATTTTCTTCTCAAGCTGGGAACCACATGTGAGAGGAAGTGAACTTCCTCTGACCTTCCTCCGTTCTTGGCCGGAACTGGGTTTGTGTGGTTGGTTGGGCTCCAGAGTCAAGAAGGTCCTGGGTTAGTAGATATGTATCTTTGGGCAAGTTACTTAACCTGACTCAAAATATTTTCCTGTACTGAAAATAGGGATAATGATATTAAAATCATGGGGTCTGATGCAGATATTAATGTACGGTAAGGTAACTACACCCCTGAGCACATGCCCCTGGGTCACTGTTCCCTCTGGAGGGGTGGGGGGGCAAGCCCGTGGGAACAGGAACCACAGGGTGCTTGCTTGGGGTCACAGGGACACGGTGGTAGCTGTTACTAGTTCCAGGAAGTAAATCCTCTTTTTATGTATTATTATTTGCAAATGGATATTTTTTCTGTAATGGGTGTAAGGGATCCTGTTGTTTGCAGAAAAATATCCCAAAGAAGTAAGTTAATTAAGAGCATAACAGGCTTTAGTCTTTGGGACACTCAATAAGGTTTCTGCTCGCTCATACGAACTCCTGGGAGAGTGTTAGGGAGGAACCAGCCTAAGGAAAAAAATGGCGAAGTTCAGGAGGGAAACTGGAGGGGGCGCCACAGAAGCCAAGCACAAAAATGGATTTTTTTGCTTTACTTCTTTCTGCATTAAGTCCAATGCTAATTGTCATGAGAACTAGACAGTTCAGCATGGACTTGATCTGTTAGATTGAATTGCAATAATTTATACAGCAATAGAAATAACTTCATAGTTAATTGACAGATTCAAATAGTTTTAAAATGAGCTTTATGTTTCTCACTGAAAAAGTTAAACATGTTCACTGTGGAAATTTTGTAAAAGAGATAAGATTATATAAAAGAAAGTAAGAATCAGCTCTTACCCTTTCACCTTTGGATAACCACTGATGACTATATAGTGTGTAGGTCTCCAATATTTTATATATGTATTACTTCAAACAACTGGGATTCAATTTTAAATATTTAAACTGCATGTGGAAGAAAAGACTGTAAGGGTAATACACTGGTTTTCAACAACATGCAAGTGGATTGGATGTCAACCTGGTGGACGCAATGTTTTGATTTATTTTAAAAAGTTTATGCGGCGATGGTGTGGCTTTCCAGAATGGGCAAATAGTAAAGTCAGACAGGAATGGGGTGGACAGGACAAGGACACAGTGTTAAGAAATGACATGTGCTATTTGCAGGCATTGCTCTTGTTTCCTGGAAGAGGTGAGTAGATCCCCTGTGCCCTGTTACTCCCCCTTATCCCTGGCAGTAAAAGCCCTTGGGAAAGGCTATGCAAAGGGCCACGTGGCTACTTCGTGCCTGGGAAGATGGAGGAGGAGGCTGGAGTTGAGCTCTGTTCCTGGTGGGCCATAGAACAGGCCCCTTCTCCAACAGGGAACAGGAGAGTTGGTGGAAGGAGAAGCAGCCAGTTGAGGGGCTAGCCTTAGGCCCTGAGACAATAAGGGGATGGCTGGACCATTGCTCTCAAGGGCAGACAGTGGCAGGAGACCCTGTTTGCCCCTCAGTCCTTTTCCTGTCCTCCTGAAGCCCCTCCCCTGCCTTCCACACCAAACTTCCCTTAGTTAGAGTCTCACTACGGAGACCTGACCCCACCCTCTGACCCCAAATCCTGGAGCCCTGTCTCCAGCTCTTTCACCTTCCCCGGCTTCCTCCCTGGTGGAGCCATTGCACCAAATGCTTAAGTTCTAGGATATTTCTGATGGAATGTTTTGACGTTATTTTAAAAGATGCCCACTGCAGTGAGTTCTAGTCAGTAGGGATTTTCTAAAACATGACCATTTTAGTGGGCCTAGCTGGAAAAGTGAGTTGTCATTTACATGGTTTCCACGGTGAAGTGCTTTCCCTGCTGCAAGCATCTCACATACAAGGGCTGTCTGGTGGGCGGGGGCTCCTCTGCCTCCAGGTGTGATGCTGCCCAGGGGAGGCCTCAGCCGTGAGTTACACGGAGTCAGAAGCTCTCACGAAGTGGCTCAAATTGCTGTGAGGCTCTGTTATCTCTACAGGGACCAGAGTGAGCCTTGGGGCCAGAGGGACTCAGCGGGCCTTTGGCTTGGTACTTTTGGTTGGGTGTGGCCAACTGTTTGAATCTTTGCTCAGTGCAGCCAGATCGAGGTGGAAGTTTGTGCCGCTGAAAGGGGCGAGGATGGGGACAGTGGCCAGCTCCGAGAGGACCTCCCTGTCCACCCCACAGCACCCGTGGCACCAGACTGGGGTTCTTTGAACTCCACACACACTCCGAATACTGTCTCTATACCCAAAAGGCCCTCTCTGGGTGGTGCCAGCGTTAGAGGTCTTCCTGACCAACAGACTTTTTAGATGTAGGGTTTCTCTGTGCAAAGTGGTTTGTTGATTGATGTAATTAGGCCGCAGCGTGCTCTCTCCTTGGCTTGATTCTGGGCTTTGCTGCTTCCTACACATGGGACCCTGGCCAACCTACTCAGCATTCCTTCCTGTGATTGCTTATTTCTAGTGGGTGGATGATAACACCAGCTTCTAAAACAGTTCTAAAGACTGTCTGAGATGATGTATTGATGTTTAACAGACATGGCACATTAAATTCTCAATATGTCATATTATTGTTATGGATGTATTAGATTTTCTAAATGTCACCTCCAAATCTTCCTTCTTATGGGGGATGCAGGTTCCTAGAGCCCCAAACCCCTTTGCTAACCCGATTGCAGGTAAGCCAGAAAAGAAATTGTGGTCATGCTTCAGAGCAGTGTCCACAAAGGAAAGGTTGTCCTCGGGTTGGAATGGATGTGATGAGGCCCAGTTCTTTGTGGCTGTGTGTGGCCTATTTCTGAGCCTGAACATTGCTTTATGGACAACCCGACTGTAGTAGAGAGGAAATGCCCTTCTCCTTAACTGCTAAGCTGTCCCTTAGCCAGGGATTGGTGCACTCTGGGGGAGGAACAGCTGGTTTTTATACTGTGCTGCTGCCGGAGACCACTCCTCTTGGGTTTGCCTTCTGCACCATGCACATTTGCTGGACCAGCTTTCTTAGCTTGTAACGAAATCCTCCACTTCCAAATGGAAAATTGCTGAGATGTGACTTACTTATAATATGGTAATTAAGCAAAGATCTATAAAGATCATCAGGGACACTGCCTCTTGTCAATATGAGTTTCTTTATCCTTACTGCTTTTCTAGAAGAAAAGGGGTCCTAGTTAGCCTCATCCATTGTTTCTCTTCAAATGGCAGCTGGCTCTGCTTAAAATGAGAGTGGAATGTCTTGGCCGTCAGACTATTGCAGGGCTCAGACATGTACAAGCAGGAGGAAGCTGAGGTGGGTGCACTGTGGGCATGAGAAGCAGAGGGCTCGGGACCCCAGTCATCTGAGATGTATGAGCCATGGGTCTAAGGAGGCAGCATTCTGAGTATTTTCCATAGTGAAGTTTGTTGCATTGAATGAGCGGATATGCACAGAAGGACCCTGTTCACCTAGGGTTATCCATTATACAGAAGAAAAGTGAACTGTTTTCATTGAAATACAACGTAGATTCTATCCAGGGGATGATAGGAAGTACATTTCAATTCATCCAAAACTTAGATCACTTCACAAGTCTTACAGAACTTACTACATTATGGGAGAAGGAGGAAGGGCACCGGCTGCCTGTTTGCTGATGGGGAAATGAGGCCCCACAAAGGCTGCGATGTCCAACAGGCCGGTGTCGGTGGCCTAAAAGTGGGATGAAGCTACAGCACTCACAGCCTGAATTCATTTGAATTAATTTACTTGAATTTCAATCTTGATCATTACATTTATTGATCTGATTTCCTTCATTGTATATTCTTCCTTCTCCATATTAAAAGGATAAGTTGGCTTCATTGCTGCCACTTCTTTAGGCAAAAACAAACATCTGAATGGCTAAATAATCATAAAATAATTCACAGTCATTTATGATTTATTCGCCAACACAGATCAAAATTTGACATTTTCTTATTACCATTAAACAGATTTTTTAAAAAATCCCATTTCAGTTTTATCTGGATTTGGATTCAGACTTTATCTAAAGAACAAGGACAGTGAGGACAATTGTGGGCACATTATAAGCACTTTGGAAAGATTTGCAAATGATATAATGAAATTATATAAATATTAAGAGGCTGACATGGTCATTAAAGTGATCAATGGAATATTAAAACCTCATTTGTTATGAGAGTAATAAGTTGTCAATGTCTTACGGTCTATCATATATATACCCCACGTGTGGTTGTTAGAAATGCAGACTTCTAACTCCTGCTCTACTATAGAATGTGCATGACAAATTCTACTGGAATCAAACAAAATGCTGCACTAAAAATAAACATGCAAATAGTGCTCTAGAAACTTAATAGTTTCACTTCTCTTTCTCCAAGCCTTCACTAGCTAATATCTAAAGTAATACAGTTTACAGGCATGTCTGAATCACCATTAAATAATGATTGTGAGCCAACAGCCGTTTAGCAAATCTCCAAATAGTTTTGTCGCTGAAGGCATCGTCCTCCCCCACCCAGGAAAATGAAAATTAGCTCTTCTTTTTAGTGTTTACAGTGAAGGAGATGGCGGAGTAAAGGCAAAGGGGATACCTACCGCAGTGTTCTCCCCACGAGGGGCTTCCGGGTATCTCTGAAGAGGATGTAACTGGTAATGACTGAGAACATCCCCCACATGGACAGAAACTGCCACCAGTAAAGTTTTATTGTGAAATACAGAGGGACAGCCCACATCTGCAACAGGGTCACCAGCTGTTGGAGAAATGAACAGAAAGTCTCTTTCAGTGACTTAGGGCCCAGAATGGCATGTGCGTTATTAAATGATTCGCAGCGACTCTGGGGGAATCACCTCGCCAGTGCTGTCTTTTGGTAACACTCAGCTGGCTCATCACCCAACTGCAAACTATATGAATGTGCACAGTTCTGGAGCCTGGAGTGGATGGGCACAATTATCTGAAAATTTGAATGGGAAATAATCCAAACTCTCCAGCTTCTGACACCTGCTTTCCTTTTCTGACACCTGCTTTCTGACACCTTTCCTGCTTCTGACACCTGGATATTTCAGATGAAAGCAACTTTAGTCATCAATGGCTGTGATTTGGGACAAACGAGCCTCCTTTTGGTTGTAAAATGGGAGAAAACTGTCTGCCCTGCCTACCCGTGCTGAGGTGGGGATAATGGCTGGGAACTCGCTCTGCAGAGTCCTATGTGAAGCTCAGGGGCTGCTGTTACTGTGCTGCACGAGTGAATGCAGTGATCTTGGGAGAGGAAGTGGTGTCAGAGCAGCTTCTGGGACCACTTCCGTCTGTGGTCCCCGTGCACCTGCAGGATTAAGCCCTGAATCCCAACTCTGGGGTTACCTCCGGCCTGACTGCTAGATTTGATTATTGGCTTTCCTCTTTGGTTTCGGGTACCTTCTCCTGGCAACCCTAAGATGTGGGTCAGACCGTTTCCTCTTCTCTGTGTGTAAGCCCATGTGGCCTGGACCAATGACCTGAATCCAAGCAGCCTTTGGATGGCTCTGTAAGCTGGCTGGCCTCGGTCCCACGTGGCAGAGAGGAGGCTGCAGTGATGGGCTGCACATGCGGGCACATGACTTGTTATGGTACCACAGTGACTGACACTCCTATTCTTTAGGTCGGGCCTAATACCAGCTGTTCGCTGGTCCTGTGAAAAGCGGATAGGTTTAACAACAGCAGTAATCTCTGGGCATTCATGTTTCATCTTGTCTAGGCCGAGCACCTATTTGCTCAGCACCAGTGTGAGAGGGGAATGGCAGGGAGGTTTTGTCTCAGGTGCAGACTTTGGTAGTTCTTCCTGGCAATGCTCTGTTGAGGAGGATTCTAATAGACCCAGTCTTGGTTTTGTGGTAGAGTATCATGATTGATTAATTATGTCTGCCAGTGATGTAGAAATAGTTGTTGAGCTATGCTTGTCATTTGAGTATAAAAAAGACTGGTGTAATTTATTTGTTTCCTTTACTCTCCTTATATTTGTGATAAAAGGAGGTGTCTTTAAAAAAAAAGAATCTGTGGATGTATTTTTGGATCTTTTAATAAGATCTTTGTTATAATAGTCTAAAGGTCAAAGTTATTACCAAAATTATTTGATAGGACTTGAAGATGTAAATGAAGAAGGCAAAGTCACTGCCATCCTTCCATCTGTGTCAAATAAGAAGACGTTTCCCAGACTTTTCATTCTCTTTTTATTGCTTTATTGGTTTTTATTGCTTTACTGCTATATATCACCTGGATCTGAAATCTTAGAATTGCTCTAAATCTTTCAGAGAACAGTACGCAGTTGTTATTATACATATGCATTTGAACAAAAACATGCACAGAGCAAATCTGAAGTAACTATCTAAAGATATAATGTTCTGTAACCTGCTTTTTGTTTTTGAACTCCAGGCAGTACTTTCAGGTTACGTACTTTTTATTCTTGCCTGAATTAGGTAATTGCTTTAATTTTCCATCCTGCTTTGTGGTATGGTCAAAGCTAATGAGTAGGATTGCACCTTTACTTATGAAGTTGCTATATATGGATATAGATATAAATAGAGACAGATACCCAAATAGGAACAACAGGCTTTTCTTAAGGAAGTAGAATAGTTTTCATGAGGTCCAGAAAGCACAGGCGTTCAAACCGAGAGAAGGTTTGCTCCCTCTGGCATTCAGCACTAGCACTTGGACCATCCACTGTTGATGCTGAAAGTGTGCAGCTCCTTAAAATCTCATCAGCATTTTGGTCATTCATTTCCTTTTTGCTTATAATGGTGATAGTTATCTATGATATGTTATAGGTTTTGAATTTTTTTAGTTTACTACTTCTGATATCAAAGAAGGAAATGAATATGAACCCCACCTATCATTTGCATTTCTCATCTTTCTATTTTAAGACTTTGATTCATCTTTTTATTTCCCCCACACACATGCTGAAAATTTTTTTAAATAAAAATTAAATAGTGAAATTAAACCAATTTATTTTAATTCACTGAAACTACTGTGCTCCTATATTTTATACTTCAGGTTTTAAGTCAACCTTTACAAGAATAATCCACTTCCTCGAACTGGTGGAGTTACAGTCTATGATAATTTGAAGTGATGATTGGACTATATATTTATAAAGCCAGTTCTTTCTCTGTGGATTTATACATACAACCTATTTCTAGAAGATCTCAAATTTCCCTTACTTGGTGCCTGGATTTAATTAACAGAGAAAAACAATGTTCAAATGTATAGATAGGCTACTTTTAAAAAATAGGCCTTGGAGAACAGAAATAAAAGGAAAGCAAAAAAGTCATTATACTGTATTCTGTATGCAAATATTTAATTTCTTAATTATCTTTAAGGTGTAAGCCCAGCACCACATTTTCTCAACATCCAAGGAGAAAGGTCAGAAATTTGCATTATGAATTCAACAACTGTATATGGAGAAGTACTTTTGAAATGAGGGCCACATTTCATAGCAATTTAAAAGATTCTTTATCAATTTCCAGAGCAGTGAAAACGTCTCCGTTTTTAAAAGTAACTGCCTCCTGTGAAATGTGGGAATGTTGTGCCTCATAAATAAACACATGAAATATGTGAAATTGAGGTGCACGCAGGGAACAGAGGAAGCCTGGCAACTGGGACACATTAATAAT